TTGGTTGATATGAAATATTTAACTATTTAAATTGTTAAATTTACATATATACCACTTGGGTGTTATGTATAATGGATATTTCACTTGTAAAAAGAAGTTAATAATGATTAAAATGTTGGGGTAATAAATATTTTAGAAGTTAATAATGATGATGTTAAAATTTTGGGGGTAATAAACATAAGTTAACACATTTTACATGTTAGAAATGTTGTTGCCACTTAAAACTTATTTTGAAATGAATATAATATAAATTTTAATTATTTATTTTTTAATAAATTACATGTGAAACTCATTTTGATAAATAATAATAATAATAATAAGTGATAAGTAAAAGAATCTTTATATGACACTGCACACCGAAAAATATTAGGTGTGGTTTTCTGTGGGGGTGTAAACGAGCCGAACTCGAGCTAGCTCAGGCTCTGCTCGTGTTCAACTTGCTCGTGTTTAGTTTGTTACGAAAATATCACAGTTGGTGTTCAGTTCGTTTATATTTCGAACACAAAAAAATGTGTTCGTGTTCGTCTCATTTTCTTAGTGAGCGGAATAAGAGTTGTTCGTGACAAAGAGTTGTTTTGATAACCCTAATCACGTAGCCAAAATGAGTCGAACCCGGATGAACAAATATTCTTTCGTGTTCGACATGTTTATATATCGAGAGAAAAAAAAATAACTGTATTCGACTCATATACTCAGCGAACGAATCGACATGAGCTTCTTAATGAATTGAACACGAGCTGTTCACAAACAACAATATCAACTTATTTTAAAGTAAAATATGCCTTTTCAATCATATATTTTAATTTTATTATAACTTTGACCTTATATATGTGAATATCAAATTTTAAAGGTCATACATATAAATACATAAAAATTGTGTGGGCTAGATGTAAAACCCCCCTACTAGCTCACCCATAAGTGGTCCAATTAATCAAGTCTGATTAATAGATAGGCAGTTGGTCTCACATTCATAAAATTATAAAATTAAATACCTATCAATAATTGATTTTAGATATTCTACCAAATATCCCAAATAACATAGGGTGTGGACTATTGCTCAAAAGAAGTGCTATTAGATATTCTACCAAATATCCCAAATAACATAGGGTCATGTGGACTATTGCTCAAAAGAAGTGCTAGGATATATTGATTTATGCATTAAGACTAGAGGAAGCTATCCATGTGGTTGGGGGACCTAGCCAACATGATACATTTGAAGGTTCTTTGTTATATACATATTTTCGAGAAGGATTTAATTAGAAAGAAGTAGTTTAAACTCTATTGAAAAAAAAAAATTTTCGCAGCACTACTTACAGTCTTTGGTCGCACTTTTAACACTTACTAGTCTTCTTGTAGATCTTCTAAAAGCACTGCGAAATACGTTGGCAGCACTTTTGGTCGTTCTTCCACCACCTCTTTCAGTCATTAAAGTAAGATAACAACTCTGAATCACCATGTACAAATACCTCCTACTCCTGCAGGAGTTGATCACCGCTCGCTAAACGTCCGTGGACTAGCATCGGTCCTTGCCCACTACTTGTAATAAAGCACTGTGCAAAGCAACAAAGTCACGAAATAAAAGAAGTGGCACATCATCTTGAATGCCGTGCTGACCCCGAAGACGGTGCGTTAATACTCAAGTTATTACTCCCTACAGCTTCAATCATTTTCTATTGTGGGGCAACTAGTTTTTCCGCACACCAATGTTATAACTCGTGAAACTGTGTAACCCTTTTAATGCACATGACATGGTTGTACATGTAATCATCAACTCATAATAAAACATTATTCCAACTGGGCAAGACCCCATCATCTTGTTTCTCGTTCCAAGTTTTCCAAGTAAAAAAAAAATTGATGTCTCTGCCGCTTTTCCACTTTCAACTAATTGTGAGTTGCATTCTCGTACAATTCTAAGATAATAATTCATCACTCTACCGATGCGAATTTTTCATTACACATCAACTACATTCATGCGTAAAAATTTGGGTTCAACAGCAAATATTGATAATAAATAAATAAAAATAAAATTAAAGATAATAAAAGTCCACGAACTTGCATACAAGGTCCTAAACACGTGCTTTTGTGCTTGCATACGTGCCAATGATTCAGCTTGATCACGACCTTCGGTATTTTATCATCTGGCATAATTATTCTGATCATTAAATTAATCAATAGATTGTTGAACAAAGAAAATTTGCTCTATATGATGCTGTTGTAATGAATTAAATATTAATTAAAAATGGACTTTCAATCTCACCCAATTTTATTCCACTAAGTTGGCAGATTGACGTGCCAATCAAATATGATTTTTCCATGTATGCCTATATTCCAC